TATAAAGGATTTAACCAAGGAATAGAGTAACTGCTTCAGGACTCAGACTGGAATTAATCTGCAATGCTGTGCAGAGGTAAAATTCAGAGGGGAAAATATTTCAGAGATGGTGTTAGGATTAATACAAGTTTCTTTGCCCACAGAACTGTGAAGAGCTGACTCGTGAGCAGCCTGTCTCCAGAAGTGTAGGACCAAGGACAACAGTTGCTGTTTATCTTCATAATTTGCTTGTCTGACTCCAGGAGCTGCTGACCTGCTATAGTTTAGAAAGACCACATTCACAGCCACCACCATACGCTGATTCAGACGGACAAACTTTCTTCACAGCATCTCATTTGCCCTTTTTTCACCAAGATTCCCAAATCCTACTCCTTAAAACGACACTGGTGTTCAGAATAGCATTCCTGGTCTTGCTTTTATCTTTTTATCAGTACAAGTCACTTGTTGCCAGCCTAACTTTTTCCTACTGAAAGTATATTTGTCAGGCAGCCAAGGTTTTGCAAAAATAAAGTGTCCAGAGGGTGAAAGTCTCTGCCCTCCCTGCCCTCCACATAACCATGCCAGAAAGATGCTCTTGACAGAAACTTCCTTCCACTGAACTTCTCCCCTCTCTCAAGTTCTCTCTAAAAGAGAAAACTGGACTAGTGTTTCACATCATTTTAAAATCATCAGGTTAAGCAAATACAAACCTTCGCCAGTGCCCTTTTAGTTCTGAGATGGCAGATTTTTATTTTCCTTAAAACTAACCCCTAAAGACATACTGTAACCCCAAAACGAATCTGTTCTGTAGCAAAACAGGAGCATTCACATACTTCTACAACAGTTCAAAAACATCAGATAAAAATTGCAGCTGCAGTTTGAATCGTGCAACTTCTCCATAACAAAGATGCAATCCCAGTGTGGTTAGATGCTGCATAGTGCAGGAAACTTGCATCTCAGACAGCACTAACTTAACCAAAGAGGCAGATAATAAATGTTTTAACCATGGAAATACATACCTAAAAAAACCCACAATAAAAATCAGCAGATAAATAAGCAAGGATGTGAAAAAGGAGGCTTAAGAACACACTGCAGACAGATAAATTCAAAGATCCTGGTGAACAACAGTAGTCAGGCTTTGATTTTTTTCTCTCCCGGTGCTCCACTCAGTCTTAGCATTAAAGAGGCAAGATACCAAAAGGAAACAGTGAGCAGTACAAAAAAGAAATGCGAGGGTACTTGGATTTTTGGAGAACATTTACCATCACTTGAGCTGATGAGAAAAAACAGGAAGCTCAGGCATGAATTATCACTAAAATGTACCAAGTCAAGACCACTTGCTAGTTTAAGTATGATTTTTTAAACTTTTTTAAAATATGGTGTTTACCCAGTTCACGGATTTGATTTCTAGGTGAAGCAGCAAAAGTGTCACACTTGCTCTTAGAGAGCCAAAAAAAAAATCTTTGATGATAAATGTTCTTCTTTTATGAAAAAAAAAAACAACCTTAAGTATCCAGGAGGGTGCTGTGCACAGGGGGCACAAAAGTACTGTGATGCTGATACTTAATGAATTTACAATTCTTACTATTCCATCAGTGCTCTGAAATTAATCAGAATAGGAACAAAAAGCCAAATCATAAATGCCTGATTTCTCCTGGGTAAACGGGTAGTTAAACTGCAGGGAATTTATTTTCATACTAGCAGCAAGTTGGGGGGCTTGGGAGAGCCCACATCAGATTAGCAGCAACATTTTACAAACAAGGACTATTGAATTCCACTACAACCCAGTTATGGGAGCATGTTTCCACCCTGTGCTGAACCCGGGAAGGCAGACGTTACGTGCCCCTGCCTCCCTCTCCCAGCCTTTCAGGAAGCTATGAAGCTAATTTTCCCCAGCAGTATTCTCTGGAGGAAAAGCTCACTTCTTGTGAAAGTAACATGTATTTTTTAATTATTATTATTTTTTATGCCTCTCCAGGGAAGGTGAGGAGGGGGGAGCTTCCTTGCTCAACAGAGAAAGAAATTTTCCTGTATCAGTGCCAAGAACAGACACCCTAAATTCAGCGATCCTAATCTCCAGCCATCCATCAGCAGCAGGGTGGGACCAGTTGATTCAGATTTTCTATTAGCTAGCGACTTTGTGTGCTAAAATAAGTCACTGTACCACCCAATTGTTCCTGCTGCTCTCTGCTCTGCAAAAGCACAGACTTAATAGCAGCTACCTCAACTACCACTGCAAGTATTTCCCCAGCAGGCCCTTTGTAACTGGCACAATCCTCTTCCCACCAACTCTCAAGCCCCTACATGCCCCTGTGACTTTACACCCCAAGCATTTCTTACGACATTTGCTCCACTATCCTTTCGGCACCATTAGGGAAAACACCAACTCTGAGTATCTACAGTACCACAGGAGGCAGAATCCGAGAACAAACCTAACCCACAGACAGACAATTTGATGGCAACTGTTTATTTAAAGGGCCAATTAGTATTCATATAGACAGTGATCAAGGCCCATCTGTAGGGCACACTGTGTGACAGATGAAGACAGGATAAAATAATAAATGCCCCAGCTCTATATTTTAAAAGGCATGGAAAGATATCAAAACAGTTCACTAATATATCAGCCTAATAAATTACACTGTCAAATATTAAATAACCTACATTCATTGGTTATTTTCTGGACCAGAAAATAAAACGTGTGATTTGATTAACATTATTACATTATTTACACAGTAAAATCAATAGCAGAATACATAAACTGGCAAAGGATTTGAAAATAACACTAAATAAAAAAAATTAAAAATGCAGGACCAAGGCTAACAGCAAACTCTGTTAACCCAGTCGGACAACTCACCCACAGCGGGTACTCTGCAAATTTTCAACTCCCATACACTAGTGCCATGCACTGGGAGCAAAAATAAAGAATCTGAGTCCATTTCTTTTCAGTTAAACAAAACACAAGCAGCATCTGTCTTCATGGGTCAGACAAACTTCTGTTCTTATTCTCATTCCTAAAGCCTACACAGAGGAACAGGAGGGTTGTTAAGCCAGATCTCACCAGGTATTAGCAGCACGGGCCATGCACAAGTGAGTAAATTTTTAGCAAAGATAAAGGCAAATGTTTCATGAGTTCAGATAGCTCTAGAGCATCAGAAGAACTGGTATCCAGACATACGCATTTGGTCTAGAGCTTCTCTGCAGCTCAGAGGACAGAATACTTTGGACCTGTTGTTCTAGCTCAGCATCACCATCAGCCAAAGAGAAAGGTAGCCGGCCATTTCAAACAAAGGAACCAATACACCTGCTACCAACATTCTGAAGACTGACTGCTGATTTTGGGTGTCCCATATAACTCATATTAACAGAAACAAAATTTTCAGAAAGCTACAGATACCTTCCTTCCTAGTGACAAAATTGGCACCAAAAAGACCAACACAACACGACAGGTCTGTAGCTCCTTTGAAAACAATGGCCTCCAAAGTCACTGGTGGAAATTCAAAGAAGAAATTCCCCTCTTTTTTTTAAGCTAAAACAGCATCATAGAAAGAGAAAAGGGGGAAATATGAATTGCCCATTTCATTAATTAATGTAGTGAGGCATTTAGAAAAGAACCTCAGTAATTCAAAGTCATGCCCTGACAGTGATCTTGGGTTTTTTTAACTATTAAATTAGTAAAGCAAACAAACAAAAACTATTCAAGAAGTCTGCATTATAAATTGCAAACATAGTACGGTATGCTAAGTATTTAGTCTCCTATAGTAAAGTAAGGAGAGATATTATGCAGTACTCAACACAGCTTTATGAAATTTTGAAAAGAAGAAAAAATGCAAAATGTTTTGTTCAAACAATCAGGTTTTGGATTAGGAAAATAAAAATTAATAGTCCTTTGCCCAAAAGTTAATAAAATATTTACCACACTAATACATCAAGTAAAAATTTTCTAAAGTTTACATCAACTCTGCTCATTTAGAGGTAAGCAATTAGTTTATGTATTGTACATGTCTGGATACCAATTCTTCCAAAGCTCTAGAACTAATCGAACTCATGAAATGTTTGCTTTTATCTTTGCTAAAAATTTAAAAATTGTTAATTATTTATGTATGGTACATCTCCACCTAAACCATTTATCATGCAAAATTCCACTATGGGATGTACAAAGAAATGGCTCTCTGCTGATTACTGAAAGGTAACCACCACCAAGATCGAACTTATGACAGCAATGTAATAATACCAACCACTACAGACAGTGTATCTATCCATACTGGAGGGACAGTAAAAAAAAAATCCCTATTAATTTTTACTGTAGGTGTTAACTCCTCCAGAAAGCACCTCTATTTTCTGCCACAATGAGGTGGGTCAGTTACATGCACTATAGCAGATAAACACCCGTGCAACACAGAAATAACATGCATTAATCAAGGCTCCAAGCTCTCCATGTCATGAGCTCGATCCGGATTTCAGCATGCTATAGCTCTGTAAGGCATCTTGGAGGAGATTCTTTTTGCCTAAAATAAACATTAATAATTGAGGTTCTTATTTAATAAAAAGGTGAAAATGCATAAAAGAATTAGTGTTCTTTGCATTATTCAATCTAATGCTACTTTCTATTTGTTTTACATTGTCTTTACGTTTTCAACATACTGCAGAATAACCGTGTAAAATACATCAATGGAAAGCTGGAAGTTTTGTCAACTGGGAAGAGAACAGATAAGCCACTTCGGAAGGTACACAAAGCAAGTTTGCAGGAAGAACAGAGTGCCTAGACATCAAAAGGATCAGTGAAAAAACAGCATTAAATTACTCAACAATGCATTGAACTGAATAAACTAGCTACTTTTAAGCAGTGATTTCCGACGGTTTGCAAGCAGACAAGATGTAATACATTAGGTATACAAACATAAGGAAAATGCCTATAAAGACTCTGGAACATAACAGTAAAGATTCTGTAGCCCACCAATATAGGTACTTACACAGAACAAGTATTTCTCCTTCTCATGTATAGTGTTAAAGAGACAGCTTACCCTTTCCACTTGTCCTTCTTTCTGCTTCAGTTTGTACACTTTCAGCTTTGGAAGGAAAGTCTCCGTGTAGTTCTTGTCTTCCATGCCTTCAAGTAGTACCCCATGAAATGCCAACCTGCAGGTATTTGCATGAATATCTGTATCCAGCTTGGAGCCAATCACAAGGCACAGTTTAGGACAAGTGACTGGTTTTTCAAACTCCAGCAAAGCCCACTGTTGTCTTGGAAGCTGGACTTCTGCTTGATCATTTTCTTTGTTCTCTTCTAAAGAATTTGAGTCCTTGGACAAATATTCCTCTTGATAAAGATAATCTTTTTCAAAATCAAAAACATTTTCTTGAATTTCTTCATTGAAGTCAGCAGGTGCTGGGCTGAAAAACATCACTCTTCCCATAACTGTTTCATGACCGACTGTGATATGGAACTTGGCCTTGGTCTGAAGAGCTCCTCGAAAATACTGGATTTTCTTCAGGGAAATTATTGCAGCATGGATGGTGAGAAGTGATTCTGGGGTGCAAATTAGGCCTCGTTCTAGCAGTTTGGGATCAAATTGGGTTACACAGACACCTACTCTGTCACCCTGCATAGCGTAAGTCACAGGAGTATGGAACATTTGCATGGACTTGACTTTCTTTGTCACCTATTGATGAAAGAGTAAGAAAAAAAAACAACAAATTTATTGCACACCAGTGCATCACAAGCACAAAGCCACATACCACACCCTGCTCTCTTGTAAAAGGAGTGACCTTCTAGAAGAGTCCACAACCCAAAAAATAGAAAGTGAACAGACTAAGAACATACCTCATCATTTAGAATTACCACGTTTGAACCTCTTAGTTTATTCTACTTCTGTTCATGAGACTAAGATTATCATGGTCACAATTATGTTATTTGCATCATCTGTGCTGCAATACCTACATACTATCTGCACATCAACAGATATACCCACACCACAGAATAGGTTACTTAATGTACTTCCCCTAAGTACCTACACCATCAAAAGTGTAGCACTACTATACTGATCCATGCAGCTATGTTACTGTTTTCTTACTCTTTCACTGAAAATTGTTTCATATACATCTTTGACTTGGTTGAATTCAACTATAAAATGTTCAGAACATAAAAACCCCACAACTTTCCTTATAATGTATTTGTAGAACACCAAGCACAATGAACTCTTATAAACCATCACTACAAAATAATTAGTAATACAAAAATCTACCATCTCCTAGTCTATGACATTCCATACATCAAAAAAAAAAGTCCTCAAAGCGTTCTTGCAAAGATTTCAATGTTCATAAATATATGGCTAGCATTACTGTTACTAAAATGTGGGGTTCCACCTGTTAGAATTATGGTAGGAAAAGTGCAGCACTGGCCACCATTTATACTTAAAATTTATTTAGCTCTTCCCAGATGCTATAAAAGTTTGACCTTAATGAGCTTGCTTGCTATTGTATTTATTTCAAGGAGTTCTCAAGGTGAAGAGAAGAATGAAATAAGCTTTTAAAGATCAGTCTAGGTTCAGCGTGATCAAACTAAATAGCTCCATTTAACAAGGCTTCATTTTGGCTTTTCTTTCAGTTCTGCAAACCATCCTTTAATAAGACACACACAAACACACACACCCCAGTTTGCATGTAACCAAATGTTTTTTCTGATAATACGTTTATGTTGCCACCTGTTGCGTTCATACTCATGCTGGATGCTTGGATAGGTAACCACTCTGCTTGAAGTCTCTACATTAAATATCTTTCAATACTGAAATTATATTTTTAGCAATAAAAAAAAATTACCTCCTCAATAAATATTAAGTACTTGGAGGACAAGAGTCCTCAACACAGAAAAGTTATACACAACATACTTTTGAAGGGCTGAAACCTCAAAATTCAGATCCAAGAACTGAACTCTCCATGGGCATGCTCCATTCCAGAGATCGTTTCCTTAGTATATCTTTATCAATATACAACAGATTATACTTTGAATGTGTACAGAACAACAACTTTGCTAGAATAGATCTCAACTCTCAGTATAATTTTTTCTTCTCTTTCCCCTTTCTTAGTACTGATTCTACAGCTATCAAAAAGGTTCATGTCAAATGCTACTGTGCAATTCTCAGCACTCAAGCCATTAGTATCTGTCTTACTCAGCTGGAACTGTTTCTCAAATCAATCTCCAACCATTGCATGTCCCTTAGTAGCCCATATTCTAATCCTGGCCCACCCCATTTATCTTCTATCTCCTGAAAGGAAGAAACCAAAATATGCAAGGATTGATTAAGAGAATCCCAAATCAAAGGACTGGACTCAGGGGATCTGGGCTTCATCCTCAGTATGTCACACAGCTTAGAGCACATCATTTAGGTTATACAACTCAGAACAGTCTAGAGAAATTAACCTTATTTATTTCAATTGCAGAATTATTTACTTGCAGAATACTGAAAATATCAGGTTTTTTCCTGCATCTTGGATGCAATGCATAAGGGGAAGCAAAACTGTGTTTTTCACCTTTTCCTCTTCTACAAAGCCTGCTGCCTTATATGAAGGACATAATACTTGGCTTCAGACAAATCTTTGTATGCCTATTCCCAACATCACCAAACTAAGCAATACTCAGAGTAGACTGTAGAAAGAAAAAGGAAGAAAAACTCAGAGGGGAACAAATTGCAGAAACTTAGATCAAAATAGAGGAGTAGATGAAAAGTCTATTGGCTGAACTAAAACCTTCAGTAACTGGAATATAAAGCGCTCTCCAAATAAGTCAGCAAAAAAATGGTCACAGGCAATATACAGAAAGCTGATTTTAAAAAGAAAAAAAAAATCTAGCAGCTGCACAGCTTCTGGAAAAACAACAAAAATCCTGTAATCCTTCTCAAAATCATAATTACACAAATAACAATGGTCATGAGCTTCACCACTACAAATATTGTTTGGGTTCCCTGGGTCTTTGGCTGCTAACCAAAACCAAAAGAAACA